CTTTGGGATTTTGGCTGGGGGATGGGCGGGGGAGATGGCGCTGGCGAGCGCCTTTGTTCCCCACCAAACTGAGCTCTGTCGTCCGGGGGCTCAGCAGCTCTCCCTCCCTTTGCCCTCCAGCCTTCCCGCTTTCCGAGCAGAGCTGTTCACTTATGACCTCCCAGATGCTAAGTCGCGCTTGCTGTCGGAACACACTCTGTCCGGCCCTCCGCTTTGGCCAGCCAGACTCGGGGGCTCTGCTTGGCCGGCGAGCCGCCCCTCCGCCCCGGCTCCCTCCCGCCAGTCCGTGGAGCGCGCACCGCCTCGCCGCCCTCCCTACCCTCTTCCGTGGGCCTCTCGTCTGTGCTTGGCTCCGGAGACTCTGTTCTGCTAATCCTCTGGCGGTTTTCTGGGTTATTTAGGCAGATGTGGGTGGAATCTAAGTGATCAGCAGGACGCGCGGTGAGCCCGGCGTCCTCCTACGCCGCCATCTTCCCTCTCTCCCGGTTCTGGTTTCTTACAGCTAAAGGATACACATTAAAACGAGCAAAGGTAACAAGCACAGGGGGAGAAGCCCAGAGATGGCAGGTACAGGGCTTCAGCCGTTTCCTCCGCGTGGGCTTGGTGGGGGGCGGGCAGGGCAGCTCTCCTGGCAGTCGTGTGTGACGGCAGGCGGGAAGCACCACCGGCCGGAGAGGCTCCCTTGGGCCTTGGTGTCCAGGGTTTTACCTGAGGGAGGTATGTAGGCACGGGGCGCCCGCAGAGCTGGCCCTGGTTACTTAGCGGTCAGCCCCGCAGAGGTCCCGCTGGTACTGCGTGGCAGGTGTTCCGCCATAAATCCTGTTGCTACCACAAACGATTTGTCAGGCCCAGGGCCTCAGGCGGACAGGACACTCCTGTGAGGCAGGAAGTTCCAAGGGCTTTAAAGGCTGTGTCCCAGGAACCTAGTCTGTCTTTGGAATGTGCAGGGTGTGGGCAACCCAGGCCTGCTGTGTTCACACTTCACTGCAGTTTGCAACATGCTTAACCTGTTTTATTTTCAAGGAACTTAACTCTTGGTTTGGTTTGCCAGTTTTACTGCGTTAGGCATTTTTGGGGAAGGAGAGGTAGAGGATTTTAATGGACTGGTGTTTGCTTTTTTCTGTTTTTTTTTTTTTCTTTTTAATGTTTATTTATTTTGAGAGAGAGAGTGCAAGCAGGGGAGGGGCAGAGATTGAGGGGAGAGAGAATCCCAAGCAGGCCCTGCACTGTCAGCACAGAGCCGGACGCAGGGCTCGAGCTCACAAACCGTGAGATCATGACCTGAACTGAAATCAAGAGCTGGATGCTCAACCAACTGAGCCATCCAGGTGCCCTGCTTGTTTCTTTTAATTTAGTTCTTTGTCTCTTGGTTTACTATTTTAATCTTCCTGAGATGGGTCTTTAATCCATTAACATTTCCAAGTTTTTCTAATTAAAAGCCTTTAAAGCTGTGTATTTTCTTGCGTACACAGCTTGGGCCACATTCTGTTGATTTATGGTAAGGAGGGATTGTTGTTATTCCTTCCTGTAACCTCTTTTAGTGTCCGTTTTCTCCTTGATGCAAGTGTTTTTTAAGAAGAATATTTGAATTTCCTGATAGAGATATTTTTAGATCCCTTGTTTTGTTCATTTCAGATTATATTGCATTGTGGTCAGAGAAAGTGACTTGTATACTTTTAAACTGATCATCTATCTAAATTAGCTTATAGTGCAATAATGTTTTTAGGAGTAGATTCCGTTGATTCATCTCCTATGTATAACACGCAGTGCTCATCCCAACAAGTGTCCTCCTTAATTCCCCTTGCCCATTTAGCCCATCCCCCCACCCATGACCCCTCCAGCAACCCTCTGGATGTTCTCTGTATTTAAGTCTCTTATGTCTTGTCCCTCTCCCTGATTTTATACTACTTTTACTTCCCTTCCCTTAGGTTCATCTGTTTTGTATCTTAAATTCCACACAAGAGTGAAGTCCTATGATATTTGTCTTTCTCTACTTTTGCTTAGCATCATACCCTCCAGTTCCGTCCACGTAGTTGCAAATGGCAAGATTTCATTCTTTTTGATTGCCAAGTAATGCTCCATAGTGTATATTTGCCACTTCTTTATCCATTCATCCGCTGATGGACATTTGGACTCTTTCCATACTTTGGCTATTGTTGATAGGGCTGCTATAAACATTGGGGTGCATGTGCTCCTTCAAATCTGTATTTCTGTAGAGCTTGGGTAAATACCTAGTAGTGCAGTTGCTGGGTCGTAGGGTGTTCTATTTTTAATTTTTTGAGGAACCTCCATACTTTTTTCCAGAGTGGCTGCACCAGTTTGCATTCCCACCAACAATGCAGAAGAGATCCTCTTTCTCTGCATCCTCACCAACACCTGTTGTCTGAGTTGTTAGTGTTAGCCATTCTGATTGGTGTGAGGTGGTATCTCATTGTGGTTTTGATTTTTATTATTATTTTTTAATGTTTATTTATTTTTGAAAGATAGAGATGGAGTGCAAGCAGGGGAAGGGGCAGAGAGAGAAGGAGACACAGAATCCCAAGCAGTCTCGTGGCTCTGAGCTGTCAGCACAGAGCCCGATGTGGGCTTAGACTCACAAACCATAAGATCATGACCTGAGCTGAAGTCATGCTTAACCGACTGAGCCACCCAAGTGCCCCTCTCATTGTGGTTTTGATTTGTACTTCTGTGATGATGAGTGATATTGAGCATTCTTTTTAATGTTTATTTTTGAGA